TATATATATATATATATATATATATATATATATATATATATATATATATATATATATATATATATATATATATATATATCGATATAATAAATCGTTATGCATTTAATAAAATTTGGTTAAAGTAATTGAATCCCTGAGAAAAATAAATAAATAAAGAAGATGAGATAATATATATAAAAATGAAACGGGACGAGCAATCCTAAAACGATAAAATAATTTCTATTCTTTCTTCTTTTTTTTTTTTCTTTCAATAAATGAATAGTATAAAAATATGACCACATAATAAAGAAGCATTCTGATATGAGTTACAGTTATATATTATTTCTATCATAATTTATAAATATCATAAATAACTTCTAACATAATTATATTAGATTTGTAACAAAGAGAAATTAATCCTAAAGGCACATCAAAGTTACATATAATGTAACAGTCAGAAAGTGATGAAAATACATTATAGGATTAACAAATATAATAGAAAGTAATTATCTTAGCAATACGTGATTTCCTAAACACATGCCACCCCGCCCTTAGCGGTTAAAATATAAACAATTTTTAACAAATTCTTAGAAATATTCAAACAGCAGTCAAAAATACAATGATCATTGCTACAAAATTTGTTAATACAGTGTATAAAGCAATCTATTATGTTAAATATTATATATAATTGCAAAATTTTAATATCTATATGTTTGGTTCTCTGTATAAACTTTTTATAATTATGATTCAACTATGTCATTAGCTAAGGGAAAGATAACATACGTCTAGACATAATACAATATATCTATATAGAACATCTCAACAATCAATAATAGGTGAATTAATTTCATCTATAGTATTTATCTTTAAGTTTTAAGAATTTGTTTTAATATAACTTTATCCATAAGGAATCTTATGCGTGACTAAGATTTTAATCAGGATTGAACATTTAAATTAATTGAATTAAAAGAAATTACTTTTTAAAATATTAAACAAATATTGAGATCACTGTAAATTATATATTCAATAATAATTTAAATATGTATTGTTACGTATTTAGTAAGAAGAAACACCTATCTATATAAATGAAAAAGATATCTGAAACATGATCACAGAAATTAAATAATTCTGGAAAGCAAGAAGTTGTAGTTTACAAAAATCGTATCGTATGAAAAAGTACTGTTTTTAAATTTTCTCTAGAATGTATAATTTTTTATACAACATAATTGGAGTCATGTTTTCTTTTCTTTACAGCTAAAATAAAATTGGACCTATGCTATTGTTTAATGACAATGGAGCTAATGCTCACAATTTTAAAGTTGATAAAAGTTGTTGTCCAGTTTCTATTATTAAAGATTTAACATGTTCAGCGTGCATAATTTGATTACACATTTCACTGCATTTTTGAAATGTTATTACATCATCTTTTGGAAGAACACGATGTAAACTTTTTAAAGATAACGTATGTGGTAAATAATTCAAAATTCCTAAAACAAGAGGTATATTATAATATAGTTTAATATACATTAACATAAATATATTGAAAAAATTTACCTTTCATAATTTGCGCGTATAAACATTGTAGTTCTTGTCGAGAGTTCGATGTAGCAATCTTACTTTGCGTTATTTCAATTAAATACTTCCATTCAGAATCTTTAGTATACATATCCTAGAATTGTAAAGCAATTTTTATAATTAAAAAAAGTTGATAAAATAGAATACATAATATAACGTATATTGTATACCTTTGCATATTGCACAACAGCTTGAGAACAATTATCCATTAAAAGTACTGTTGCTTCTTCAGTATTTTGAGTGCACAACGTTTTTAAAGATAAACTGCCATCAATTTCTTGTGTTTCAAGAAATTGCTTAACTTCATATAAGCATTCATTTGGTATAAAATCACAAGATAATACAGACTGTAATTTAAACAATTCCATTGGTATAGTTTTTTCAGTGTCAGTCTTATCGATATCGGCTAAATCTTTTAAATCGCATACATTCAAAACTTTTTGATAATCTTTTGCATACGGCGGCATCCCGTTTAGATAATGAGGTCTAAACTTCATAAATATGAAGTTATCACAATTTTCTTGTATATTTTCTTTATTTTCTATTTTGTACACTTTCGTTTGAGTTAATTTTCCTAAATACGATCGCACTAATAGTTTAAACGCTTCAACCAAAGCGAAATCCGTGCGTATTTGATTTTTATTTATAACAGACGAATCTATAATCAATTTTGTACTAAAGTAGTTATGAAGATATTTTTCGAGAAATACTTGTAATGTCATTGCTGCATTATGTCCATCTCGTCCTACTCTCGATGGCAAATATTCTAGAAACACCTGTATAATTTGATGAAGAGATAAAATTCCATTCTCTTCAATTAAATGTATTAGAATTTCGGCAAAAGTTGTATTTTTTTGACGCATTAATGTTCCGGCGAAATCCGAAAACGTCGGAATCATTGGACTTCTTTTTTTCATTGCTGTCATGTCAAACAATAGGTCCCAATGTTCTAAAACTATTCTTTTAATACATAACGCTGAGACTGGTTCAAGTATTTTTTCTGCTTGCTCTTGTTTCTCAGCTTGTATATATAAGAGTGCCAAAGCTAATTTAATTAATTCGTCCGTTTCATACAATAACAAAAGATGTATTAACTTTTCTGTGGTATATTCTCGTAATACGGGACTACTGAAGATCAATATTAATAAATCCGGCTTTTTTAATTTACATATTATTTCTACAATATTAAATCCTTGGAACAAGGCATCAGCTTCTGAACCACTTTTCATTGTGAAAAGTGTATCAGTCAAAAACGTAACGAGACCTGGTGCATCTTGACTTGACTTTCTAGATAAAACTTCTGAGGGTTTTAAACCCGACATTTTATAATAAGGTATACAAAAATCCCAGTCTGACTCATATTCAGAACGAATATAATAATCTCCAAGCAATGCACATGATTGATTATATAAATTCTTCAATTTCAATCCATTTTTATTTGCGATATCGTCAAATTCATTAATGTCTGAGCAATTATACACAGCATCTTTAGCTAAACGTATCAAAGCATGAGCCTCTCCTAACAAATGCCGGTATGTGTTTGGACTAGAAGATTTATGATTCCTTGCTGCATTTAAAATATCATAATACAAATTTTCCAATTTAGGTAAAATTAAAGAATACAAAGTCCAAGAATTTTCAGCTTTGGCTAAGAGAATGAGATAATTTTTGCTATGTAATAATTGTTGTATCCCCAGGAAAGGTCTTAATCCTATTAAGCAGACAGGTTCGGAGATACTAGGACATGTAACTCTCAAGTTTTCTATATCATTTGACATTCTGGCAACATGATGAGATAAACGTAATGTGTATGATTCAAGACCAGCTTCAGTAAGTGCATGTAAAGCAGTATGTTCCAAAGCTACATGATTAACAGGTGCTGTAAATGGATAAGTAGTTAAACAAGTTGCATCTGTAGGATTTGAACTAGTTGCAGAGAAATGATAAAGATATCCTTCTTGCAGTGTGCATAAAAAGCAACTTACACCCTGCAAATATGTGTATTTATCTGATCTAAGAATTGATTTTTTTAAACAAGAATTATTACACTCTTTCCTCATATACAATGGTTTCAATAAAGAGCAACTGAACAGTTCAGAACTTCCATCAAGTTTATTATTAGCTGCCATTATTTTAAGAGACAGTAAATTTTTTATTGTATAATTTTCTGACCATCCTAGATCAGGAGAATTCGTTTTAATTATAATCCTTATGTCTGATGGATTTAATATGAAAGGACTCAAAGTGTGTCCAGGTCCTGCACGTTCCAAACTTATAGATGGCAAATTTATAGTTAAAGGTTGTGAGTTTCCATCGACAACTTCTTGATCAATTAATTTTTGTAATTCATCTTTTTCATTATACAATAAGTGATCCAAATTTATAACAGTGTCATTATTATTTGATTTTATTTTTCTGAAATCTCCAGTCTCCAGTTTATTCCATATACTTGTTTTAGAACTTTTATGTTTTCTACTTTTAAATTTTGTACTTATTCCACTAGAATCATTGTTTTCTGACACAATGAAATGAAGGTCTTGACTAGAACTTTTACGTTTCGAATTTATTCCTTGCAATATTGTATTATCATCTTGATTAGCCATATTGCTATTTTCCACAAAAGAGGAATCAGTGGATATGGATGTTTTATCAATAGACGAAGAATTTGTAGAAGTGAGAGAACTCAATTGATCAATATCCTCATACATTGAATTAGTCAACCGAAAGACACATAAATTTGTCTTATCCATAATTGATATGAAATCTTCAACAATTTCCATATGCGTAGGAGAGAATGAGAAGCCTAAAGACCATGGTCTTGCTTCAAAATCTATAAACTTCATCTTTGATACTTGCTGTGTTTCAATTTTAAATTCATGTAGAATAGCACTGTTCCCTGAAGCCACTAGAAGATTGCCAGTACTTTGGCAACATGCAATCAGTGTAGGTTGTACACTTAATGGCAATTCTATCATTTCTAAGCTATTCAATGGTCGATTTAAACTTGGAGTAACACGTCCTGCTATTCTAGCACGCATAGGTTGACTTTGATCTTTCACCATAGCCCAATTAACATAAATTCTAACAAAATTATTAATTGTTTTCCCTGTATGATTATTGATGCTTGCATCTCTGGATAATTTTGATTCTAATGTTACAACATAATCTTCTTTGGTGCAGTGCACCATTTGATTAATCATATCTACTGTTGGGAAAACAGTATGTAGTTTAATATCAGACACCATCAATTCCCAGACTTCAACACAATGAGTTGACAATGCTAGAAGGAGCATTTCATGTCCAGATGCATTTGCTATACAGCTTGCTGTTGGCTCTTCAATTTGAGTGACGTTTTGTCCCAAAAAATTATGTACTGTGATTACACGCACCATGTTGACTTTTGTGCTAAAAGAGTTCTTTAAACATATCTCTGTTATATTTCAAAGGAAAACTACTATGTCTAATTATAATAGGTTAGTTACTTGGTAACTGAATTAAACATTTAATTATTGAATTTAAATTAGTAATTATTTCATTTGAATTTAACGCATCACTACATGATATAATAAAACGATATTTTAAGGTATAAATTATTTTAAAATTCGTTCGAAGGTTATCTTACATTTTTAAACTATTAATATACAAATTACTTGCGAAAGGATGATAAGTTCGTTGTATTTTCGGGAACTTTTAATATTAATGAAGTACAGAATCAGTACAAGAAGATATGATTAAAATATTGTTTTCTTTCTATTCAAATTAATAGGTCTGACTGTCTAAAAATCCATGGTTAATACTCAATAACTCGATGACGCGTACTTTGACATTTTTTAATTCATGTTTTAACACCCTTGTTATATGACAAATAATATTGAAAATGACAAATCACGATAAAGTACGAAAAAACCACATTACTTAATACCGTACAGAACTACGATATTTTATACATGATTTCATACAATCTAAGAACACTACGCATATTGCAAAGTAGAAGATGCAAATACAGTTTATTCGTTTGACAGATCTTTTAGTACGCGCATGTACACTAATGGTTAGAATGTAGTTGTGCTACATACGCACTCTAGCTTTGCCCGCCAAATGCGATTATACATTATACATATTGTCTCAAAATTATAAAATGGAAATAAAAACGAAATTTTTTCAGACACGATTAATAAAAAATAAAAACGAATAATCTAAATATCAATTTTTTAAATGATTCTTTAAAATGTATTTCATAATTGAATGTGTTCACGATTTATCTTTTTTTAATTTTTATTAAATAAAAAATTATACATTCATGCACTGCTATCATATTAGTTTTAATTAGATTGTAGAAAAGTTTTGTTTAAAAATATTGATTTCCTTATTCTATAATCTTACGTAATATTAATATGCTATAAACATTGTAACAAATGCTAGTCAAATATATATTAAATGAACATATAATACCATTTATTTTAATTATATTACTTATAAAAATGTTATAATATAATATCAGCTCTTGACCTTATTATAATTATAATTGTTATTATTATTATAATTATAATTATTATTATAATTATAATTATAATTGATTTTAAATCAATTTCACACACAATGACAAAATGTGAAATGCATCATATAAAGCATATATTCTATAATTTTAACTACTTTGCTGCAATAACTTTCTCGATATGATTCTTCAAAGTTTCCAACTGTCTCATGGTTTCTGAATCTAATGCAGGAATATGTGACATACGTAAACCATCATTAGGTAATAAAGACATGATATTGCCATTACTCAAAGGTACATTAACATTAGCAATGTTTTCTTCGACAACTCCAGAAACCATTAAGGGACTACCTTGCATGCTAAGGGCCATTTCCCCTTGCCTTGGTCGTCTTAATATATTTAATGGTGTATTAGGTTTTATTTTCGGAGTTATAATATCAAATTCTTTGCTCCCACATTTGGTAGCAGCAGGAGTTTTAAATTTATCAATTTTCATAGATCTTTTAAGCTGTTCTTTCCTTGTTGGCTTTTTTATAGTGTCTTGGTTTATTTCACTAAGTTTTGTTTTACTAGTCCTTGAAGTGCTACGTGTTCTTCTGGTAGTAGGTGGTGCCAGTTTCTTAGCCCTTGATGTGCGCGTTGTTGTAACTCCCTCGGTCACATATCCATCGTCCGTTCCGCTAGTAATTCTTTTACCAGTTTTCTTTACTTTTACTGTCGGTGGGGCTAATCGTGATGAATGGTCATCAACGGATGACGAAATTTCATTGCAATTTTCTTTTTCGTTATCGGTCTCGTAATTGAGTATTTCACCAAGAGTCATCTGTCGAATCTCGGTCGGGAGACGAGATAAAGTAACGTCAATAAAAGTTTCAAGGCTCTTTATTGCCATTTCGAACTCTGCCTCCATTTTTGATATTCGTAAATGCGCCTGTCGCTTAAAATCTCTGATTAATAAATCACTTTCTTCTGTAGGACGCTGTATTTGTTTTATTTTCCGTGTATGTTTCGTTCGCGGCATTTTTACCAGGCGAAGAATAAAGATAACCAAACTACCTATTTGCTTCCTTTATTACACGTACTTTATTCCCGTGTAAATGAAATTTAATCTTAAACATACATAGATATATCACAAATATATATTATCACAAATTGTTTATATATTTGACTTACGCTAAAATGTTTTCAATTTCGCTTAGAGCCGTTAAACAATTTATAAACAGTCAATAACAATAATTACAGAGGATGGCAAAATGGTTAAAACATGTACATTCAAAGAGCAATCTAGCGTCGTTTACTCGTATTACATTCTACGTGTTCAAAAATACATTTCTCAGTGTATTCAATTTGATTTGAATTATGTGAACATTATTCGCGGCAAATTTTTTAAATCAGGTATTATTTTAATTCTTAGAATTACAAATTGTTAGGATAATTAAACTTATCCATAAAATTGTACAAATAATTAAAATTGTTATTATCTGTTTCAAGTTATACGTATGTATATAGAATTGTATGTATGTGACAATTCATGGATAAGTGACTGTCTATATTATTTGGAAAAATTATGGAGATAAGGAGTTTAGATGGAGAATGAAAATTCTAATAATAATATTAAGAATTGACAAATAATTTCAAGTGAACGTTTTGTACGCGATCTTGATCTCAAATTGGCATACATTCTATGAAGTTTGGCAAATTCTTATCGTTCATACGTTACAATGGATACTACCATTCAGTACGAAAAACCACTTTCTGATTACAGACGAACTGAACGGCAAGAGATGATGATAGCTCCTCCATTGGATTTGTCGTTTAAAAAAGCAACAACAATGATTGGTATGTAAATAAATGTATAAGGCATTGTTTTAATTTTATATTACTTTCTGAGTTCAAAGATAATATTAATAAGAATTTTTATTTTGTTACAAGAGAATTGGCAAATAAACGGCCACAGTCAGTACGAACGGGTAAAGTTCCATTACGAACACCTGCGGATCGTTTTGTAACATGTTCTTTATGGTTAAGCAATAATTTATTAACTTCAATGAACGGATTTGAAAATCTTGCACAAAAGCTTCTCGATGATCCATCACATCTTAGTTGGCTTGATCTTTCTTTTAATGAGATAGAACATATTGGGGATGACATTATAAAATTTCCGAATTTAAAAATTTTTTATCTCCATGGAAACAATATTTCGGATATCAATGATGTTGTAAAATTGAAAAAGTTACAAACTCTAAGATCTTTAACGTTACATGGAAACCCCATTGAAAATCTTCCATATTATAGAGGATACATCGTTCATATTCTGCCACAATTAACGGCGCTAGATTTTTCAGCAGTATTATCAGCCGACAAGAAGAAAGCAGCACCAGCTGGGTTTTATAAAATGATACACAGTCGTACATGAATATAAAATTTTATTTTGTATTAAATACACGCTTTCTTAAGTATCGTGACTTACAATATATTTTTGAGAATGTACATATGAGAATATAATATGTAACATAACGCATCTTCTTAAGAATAATTTACTTTAAATCTATTGTTATTATCGTTAAATTAAACGTAAGATATGTACCATATAGAAGAAATCAATAGTCTTACTTAAATTACATTTTAATCAACAGAGGTAAAAAAAGGCCACATATTATATTACAAGTTGAATGCGACTGTCCGCATGATCGCAATATGCGTAGTAATTTTTTTATATATTAAATAATTCAATGACGTCTGCGTTTACTGCGATGTTTAGTTGATTTTTCTACATCCCTGTCCCGAGATCGACTGCGCGATCTATAACGACTACGTGATGATTTATGACTACCAGACCGTCTTCGCTGCGCCTTTTTCGGTTTTCGAGATCGTCCATGACTATGACTGCGAGATCTGCTTCTACTATGCTTTTTTCTCTTGGAATGCTTTGTTCCTTCACCCCTAGATGGTGAAGTACTTGGTGATTTTGATCGTCTGAATAGGAATAAAAACAATTTTAGATAAGAATTAATTATATTTTATTACCTTATTCTTTTTTTGCGACATCATACCTAGGTGATTTTGTTCTCTCGGGCACAGCGTGTGTACCACTACGACTAATAAATCCACCCCAGGCATTGTGGTGTTTAGGAAGTGGTGGACTAGGTGTGTGGCTATCTACATCCCCACTTCTTGCTTTGGTTCTTGCTTCTTCATATTGTCTACGAAGTTCTTCTACTCGTTTTTCTAGCTGTTCTGGTTTAACACGAGGTCGGAAGTACAGTCGTAATATACGACGGCAAACATCTCTTATAGCAGATTCATTAACTTTAAAAAGAGAAAACCAAGCAGGTGAAGTAGGTAAAGGTAACTGGAGTTGTCTTGCTCCTAAATATACACATGCACAAGCAACAGTTTCTGGTTGATGTCTTAAGAACACATCAGACCTTAAAGAATCATTCATATAGTTCCAACATTGTTGCATTAAAGCATGATTTTTTTCATATCCCAGTACTTGTAAATACATAACAATAATTTTATGAGGATGTTTTACATGAACACAGAAACCTAATTCCTTTAAGACTCTTCTTTCAGATTTAATTACTTGATTCTTCAATGCTACATAATTTTGATCAAGTATTACAGGTTGTATTGGCCTGAAAAACAAATTCGCTAATTAATATTATTTGTATGCATAAAAACTTTGTTTCAAGGCACCATTTTCTTTTTTACTATAATTGATAAGTACAGACAATATTGAGTGTCAGAGTCCATTAAAGAAAAAAATAATGTCCTAAAACGAAATTTGGTCCATAAAATTTTAAGGTAAACAAAGGATTATACTTACTTTTGACTGGAAACTTGTTTTATATGATTAAACACGTTAATAACGTCTCTGATACGTCTGGGTGCTTCTTCAATTTTACTAGCTAAACAAATACAACCCATTGCAGTTGTTTCCATATTATGTCTAACTAACGATTTACTATAATAAAACCGTTGAAATATTACTTGCCCCGTGGCCATTGCAACCTATTTACAAAAGTAATAAAAATAAAGACTATGCGCATAGAGGTTATAGAGGTTATAGCGTTTATAAACACTTCGTTTACTCGTGAAAATTACTACAAACCTGGGGTAATTTTAATAAAATACCAGCTGTCTGTATTAGTTCGCATCCTAGTATTCTTAAATCAGTTTCAGTTTCTGCGTCCAGTCCATCTAAGTGCGACGGCGTCGAATTGAGTTTTTCTTCGGGTAAAAGACAATTTTGAAGTGTTAGCACGATTTTTCCATAAGGTTTTGGATTGCCAATGACTGTATTTTTTGCCGGTGTTATAGAATTTTCTTTCGCGTTGCTCATTTTTGTTCACACGAATTAAATAAAGAAAAACTTTTTTGTTCGTTCACTTGTGATGAATTGGTAGAGGTTAACCTTTCATCATCCCGACTACCGCACCTCCGAAACGCACCACCTTTAAACTAAACCTCTTATGTACTATAATTCACATAGATGGCGCCACTGTCTGCTTTCAATAATCAACTGTTTTACTTGACTAATATTAATATCGTTAATAACATAATACTATAAAAATATAAATCTAAATATTTATGTGGAAAAATGTGCTTCGTTTTATTTTCATTATAATAAATTTGTAAGAACAATTTATCTTATATTATAAATTATGTCGTTTCTGTAACTATTGGTCACTTCCGGTAGCCATTAGTCAGTAGATAGTAGCTTATGGAACACCATCGCGCGCGTACAGTTGTTCCTTTGAAAAATTTGAAATATAATGCAGAATAGAAAAGTGTAATTAAAACTTAGAATAGCGTGCTAGAAATACTAGCCAAAAGATTGTATACTTCCCATATTAAACCCATTTTGGGGAATGTTTGATTAGATAAGATATAGAAAGTATGTTGAAATTTTTTTGAAATTCAGGAGTCGTAAAAGTTTGTAAGTTTTTTTAAACATTATTCGTTTTTATTATATTGCAGGTGTCCGTTGCAGGCTAGTCAATGCTGTTATGGTTCTACAAAAACAATATTCATCGTTAATTGGTGAGTGGCTTTTTATATCGTACCGTACGAATGGAGTAAAATTTCAATTCGAACATTTATTCGTTACGCGATCCGCCATTGTTGTAAAAATACGCGGGCATTTTTGAATTGCCTGATGCGCGCAGGATTCTTCTAGCGAGAAGGATAATGAAAGAAACTGCAACAATTTTTAATTTAAGTATATAATGATATATCCTTTTGTTATTACATGTCAGTTTTTTTCATTTAAAAATCAATATGCATGCAATTGTGTTTTAAAATTTGAATGATGTTAATTCACACGAATTTTCGATCGATTGAAATTGAACTTACAAAGTAATAGGATTTTGCGCATACTTTGAAAGACGACATATCAGCGCAATAAATATATACATATTAAGAAATAATATACATAATATAATACAGTCGCATAACATAACAATTATTATACAACATATACATAATAGTAACTCATAGCGAAACGTAACGCAAAGTAAATAAAGAAATAACAATAGTATAGATATCATTCATTAGAGAAATAATCATATCTCTAGTTTTCTTTGAGTTTATTTGTTTTTCTAATTTCGGTCCCTGTGATTCTTATTGCGTACACGTTTTACAATTAATAGAGGAGTAGGAAAGCAGGTTATTCGATTTTTCGTTGTGCTGATTTAATCTTGTTCGTTCATCCAGTCGATTATAAATAACGTAATGTCCGAAAAATTAAAATCGTGGCAACGAATTTTAACCCGAGATACTTCGACAAACGTTCTGCTTTCGCACAGTCATAGTATGGACCGAAGTAGGAACAATTTTCACAAGTAGAAATAAAATCAATCTATAAATTACATCAATCATAATCCATAAACATTTTTGTCCTTTAATTTAAAATCATACTGTTTTCATTGCATTCGTAAGAGAAGAAGAAATCGCTATTTTCATTTGAAATCGAACGACTCGTGGAACGATTGTTGTCTCAAGAAAGCAACTATACATTGATGAAATCTCTCGAGGGAGGTGTGTGGCCATAAAAAATTTGAAAAAATAAAATTTCCAGCATCTGTGCTGTATTTTTCCCTGTATTGTACGGCATGTATATGCCGCGTTCCCCTACAAGACCTTAAAGCATTTCAATTATTTAGAAATTGGTATTTGTATCCACGCTGAAAAGTCATTCAGTAACATTACATTCGTCGATCTGGCAGTGATGCAGCTTTAGCCTTCGTTCAAACGGGAAGAGTTCGATTCACCCTTCAATCATTTGCGGCGCGTTTATGACGATTCGGCGACGTCCGTTTGAGATTTTGACGACACATCCTTATTTAAACGCGTTGCATCGTTGCACGCGAGTTGATTCTCTGCTTTTTCCGATCCCACGCTGTCCATCTTATTCTCCGATTTGATCGACGCGTTCAGACTTTTCAAAAAGTTGCCTAGGTGCTCCGCAGCTATAGGATTGTTTGCCCACTCGTTAGAAGGAAACGCAGCTAGCAATCTTTTCTGAAACATCTCCGAGGTCAGTTGTTTCGCGTCAGCTTGCTTAATGGAGGCTTTCTTTTCATTCTCGTTCGTCGAGTCCTCTGTAACGTTAGTCTCACTCTTCGTCAAATTCTCCAAAGATTTCACTGCGTCTGACATTTGCGAGGGAGAAGGACACCCTTGCTCCATTGTAGAGCAGCTTTTGCCCGAAGGATTTTCAATAGTCACCGAGCTAGAATCCGGACTGGCAGGTGACTTGCTACTCGATACTTCTGCACTTATGTTGCTCTTCTTCGTCGGACTTGATGCGGGTACATCGTTGTCTATTCCGTTCGAGGCGGTGTTTGTGCTGTTGTTATGGTCGCTGGTAGTCTCGTTGATGGTGTTCGCGTTGGTATCTCCAGGTGGTGGCGATGGAGAAGCTGTGGACGATACTCTTGGACTGGCTGCTTCGCGATGAGGCGTTTGACGCGACGAATTGTCCGGTTCTTTCCTCGTGTCGTTGTTCGTTTCCAAATTAGAATCACGAGTTACTTCGGCAGACGTTTTCTCCTCACTGTTCACTACTGTGTTAGTGTTGTTAGTGTTGTTAGTAGCTCGTGGCGAGTATCGATTGTTAGCTTCCGCGACCGGCGAGTACTTCGTTTGGACGGACAGTTGTTGGCCAGACTCTGTGGAGTCGAGAGATTCGTTACCGCGATACACGGGCGTTTTATTTATCTCATTCGCGACAGATCTCGCGTTCATACTGGCCGATTTATCGTTCGATTGTTGCTTGGTTATCGCAATGGCCAAAGGCGCTATCGATGATCTCGCCGGTTTCACTGGCGCACATTGGGCAGCCAAGTGACTTTTCCCGGACATACTGGCGTTCATATTTCGATTGTTTTCGGTGTTAGACATAGTGGTGTTCGCTTCGGTCCCTCGTGGTATCCTTAGTCTTGCATCTGTCTGAAACTGCTGAAGATTCGGCGCTTGGCTCAAGGCATAGAGGCTTTGCAGACTGGGAAAAACGGATGAAAGATTTGTGCTGTACCTGCTGTTACCCAAAGAACTGGAGAAACCAGGTGCATAAACTGGCGTTCTCGAAGGTGTCGGAAGCGGACAGTCGTTCACTCGCTGAGCCGCTGGAGTCAAGGAGCCCGGTGGCGCGCGATAATACCTGTGACCGCCAACGAGCGTTACGACTTGCCCCTGATCCGAAATATTCGGCATGTCTCTGATCGGCATCGTCGGTTTCGCTTTCAGTTTCGTTACTGGTTGCGGTATTCTTAACGGATGTATATCCATCTTCTTCCCTCCACTGAGGTCCAAAATCTCCCTCGTCGAGTCCTGTTCCCTTTCTCGCTTGACAGCGCTCGTCTGTCTGTGTTGTTGGTTCACTTCGCATTCCGATTGCTTAGACTGCTTTGGTTTTGTCGGCGCGGGCATTTTTATCTGCCCGGCCTTCAACGCTTTCAATACTCGTGGATCGACAGACCTGTCGTTGAGAGTTATACTGGGACTTACTTTCCCCAACGTGTTCTTCCGACTATCTTTGGAATCGTTCGCTTCGATGTACCCGCCGCTGTTTCCGGGTGATTTCGGCGCTGTCAAAGTTATACTGAGGCTCGCAGGAATGTTCAATCCGCAACCGTCCAGTATGTTCCTCGTGTCGTTCGACAGCACCGGAGCAGGCGTAGATTTCGGACTCGGTGTCGATGTCGTGGGTGTCCGACTAGGACCAGGCTCTCCAACCATGTTCAATGGTCTCTTTCCTGGAATAACGTGCTCCGTTGGGAGCTTCCGAGGCGACTTGGTGTGATTTTGCACGACAGGAGGCGGCACATGAACGTGTGTCTGCTTCTTCGAGATTTGCGTTGAAGCCTGTTGGTGCTTCCTTTTCTTCACGTCGAAGATCGGTAAACCAGGTGGACATTTCCTCTTTACAGCTCCCACCGGAACTACCGGCGGATCATTAGAGAACGTGTAAACGTCTACCTTCGCAGGACTGTTATTCACGTTGATGTTCATACTTACGTTCGTATTCTTCGAGTAACCAATCGTACACACATCTACGTCACTGCACTGTTTATTCGCATTCACTCGCGCGTTTTCAATTCCGTCCATTCCGCTTGCGACCCGTTTGTTGGTACCAGCAGCATTCCCACTCGCAGCATTTACCCCGATATTCTCGCTGTTGCTCTTACTCTTGGAGTCGCTTGTTGGAGTATTCGGGGTCTCTGTCGCTACAATGTCCTCTTTCTCCGACGTGGCGTTACTTTTATTCTGCGTGTCGTTCGTCTCCTTGCTCGCGTTCGTTTCGTTAAACTTGGAGGAAGACTCCAAAGCCATTTCAGATGCCGATTCTCTAGCTGTTAACTGAAAACCTTGAAGGAACTGCTTCTTCTCTTGTTGTTCCCCTGGCTTCTTCTGTATACTTTTCAACTGTGTGTTACTGACCACGGTTTTCTCGGGAATCGACTGTTCCACGAAAGTCACTCTCCTCTTGTGTTTCTCCTGCTTCTCTGTCTGGCGCTTCTCCTTATTTCTGTGAAGCTGCTGAACGAGCAACGCGTCAGAGCTATCTTTGTCAACTTTGTCAACTTGACCGCAGTGTAACAACACGTTGCTGATAACTTTCGGCTTGTTCGGGCTGGAATTGTTCGGCGTGCATTGTTTCAACGTGATCTTCACTCCGTTCGAGTTCTGACCGTTCCCTATACTGACGACACTGAATTCCGGATTCGAGGGTTTCGTCTCGATGCTCCTGGTACTCTGCTCCTTCGAATTCCAAGTACCCGGAGGGTTTCTTAAAACCTCGTACCTTCCATCTGGATTTTTAAGTATTTTAATAGGTGTCTTGATCTGCTTAGTTTCGTTGTTCAACGACGTGGGCAAGGCGACAGTGTTGGTAGCTGTCGTCGTTGATGCAACGTTTGTCGACTGTATCGAAATTGTGGTCAATGTCGCGGTTGTCGACGTTGTTACCGTACTAGACGGTTGTTCCTTTTTAGCTTTCTTGGTTTCACTCGAGGATAGTTGATCACTTGGTGGACGTTTCTCGTTCGAGACTTTATTTTGATTGTCCAACGCAGGCTTCTTGTCGTTGTTCGTGATCTTCGCTTGTGGCCTGGATTCCACGTTGTTCTCAGAATTCTGCGAGTTAGTATTCTCTCGTGTGGCGACTGTGGCGACTGTGGCGTCAACAGGAGGTAAACTGGCACCTAAACCTGGAGTGGATGGCCTGTCGTGAGGAGGAGCCTCTAATCTTTGCTCTTCTAGCGCCACTCGATAGAAAAATCGCATTGGTGCATTCTAGAAAATAAAATTTTTACATGTTAGTTCGTGAAAAAACTTTTTTAGATATTTTTGTGCCAAGACTGATTTCTTATAAATATTGTAATATACCATATCAAATTCATATTATTAATAGTGAGATTTAAAAAGTAGAACCTTGGTTGGAAATTGAAAACTGTGCGCTTGGTTTCCAATTTTCTACAAATACATAAAAATTCGCGATTCACTCATTGATGTGCGAGTGATTTTTAATCTATTAAGAATCAAACAATAAAGTTTATAATAAAGTTACAAACAGAAAATGAAAGGAGTGAAATCTTATGTTAATATAGTGTAAGAGAAGCCAAATTATAATCATCAATGTGTTGTAAATAAACTGCTAGTTTTTGTGCATATACGAGAAATTTGAAAACACATGGAAATACAATATATATATATATATATATATATATATATATATATATATATATATATATATATATATATATATATAAAATACACAAAGTATTCTCTCTACGTACGTACTCGAGAAAACAATTTTCTACCAAGGTTCCCTCATTTTGATTATATTGATTAGAAAAATATGAATTTGTACGAACGTCCGCAGTCTATTTATAATATTAAAATGAACGACAGTTTACCCTTTTCCACGCATAAATATAAGCGACATCCATGAGTGTCCAGTGTTCAGGAAGCGGAGCACGTCGATGGCAAATCTCTATGGTGTATCTTGTCATGTCGACGCTGTATTTCAAAGCTAGGAATTTTTTTAAATGCGCGATGGTGACAAGTGCCGGGCACTGAAGGTATCGCCTGTTGCTTGTTGCATTTGTGCCATGGTTACCGATGCTATTGCTATTGCTGTTATTGCTGGCGTTATTACTGTTGTTACTTTGATTGTTGAATGCGTTCGAATGGTTAGTGTCGTCATTGGTGCTGAGCAGAATGGCTAGTGGATCTGCTCCGGGTGGTAGATATTCCAAGCTTAAGCTAACTGCATCCTCTGGAGCGAAAATTAATCTTCCACTCACGTCCTCTCCACGTTGTTCTGGTGTCGCTAAATCCGCTGTAGAAAATATTTATATATTGAAATAACACGTATGTTGTAATTTTTCTTAATAACATAATTATAGACATGGAGGCCCTTAAGGGTCTTAAGTTAATTTCTAAAAAATATACGGTGTATAAATACTGAATATTAAATATAGGTATTATGCATGTATTTTAAAAGTCCAACAAAATCCAAACGAGTTCTTTTTAGAAAAAGCTTACAAAAATATTGATTCCAGAGGGCAATAGTCAAATATCATTTTAATATTTTTCCGGTCTTAAGAAATAATTTACTAAAGACTCTGAAACGATAATGAAATATTAGTTTTGTAATTATCTCTATGATAAATTTATAATGTTAAATTGAATTAATCGAACTGATGCATTCTTTAATAGAGATGTCTCTTTTTTCTCACGTTCTCCTGACATGAAACTGAATCATTTTACAACACTTTCAAAATACACGTCTGACATAAATGACTGACAATAGTACCATGTTCAGGATGTTTCTTGTAAAACTCTCTTCTCCTGCGCATCTCTTTGTGATACAGTCCGGGGACCAATTTGTACACGATGTCTTGCAACGCCTTGTCGGCTCTGAAAATCAGAATCGTTTAATCGATAATCCAAAAAAAAAAAAAAAATTCAAGCAAAAGTAGTCACCGAGCATCGAAGAATTTTCACAATTTGTAAAAATGTCAAGCCCGTTCGTGGGCAACTTACTTGATGTTCGGCTTAGCTTTGTTGAGAACATGCTTGCAAGAGGGACAATGTGCTTCTGTGTTGAGATGCTTGAGTATACAGCTTCTACAAACTGAACAGCGAAAAAGCAACGTATCATTATCCGTTCCGCGGAATATATATAATAGGCACCTAATTCGGGCTCCATTCGATTCGATTCGATTGGCACTTACACGAATGCAGGCACTCGACGACGGTGGTCGCATCTATAAGGTAGCCTCTGCATAAAGGACAAATAAGATAAGGATTCACCTCGCGAAGGTACGTCCTTTTACCTATTCCCGACATTTTTTCCTATTGCGCCACCGAGTTGTCGGCGATGGTACCTGTAACGATAAAAATGATTTCATGTAACATCTTCGGTATCACAAACAGATCTCTCAATCTCGTTAAGAATTCAAGGGAGAGAATCTTGGTCACATGTCGTTTTGCGCCTCGCGCATATACTATTTCTCTTCGAACTTTGGTGGGAAAAAGGATTTTGATTTTGTGAAAATCGACCACGATTGTATAATCATTTTAGAGGGGTTCTTCATAGAGAGAGAGAGAGAGAGAGAGAGAGAGAGAGAGAGAGAGAGAGAGAGAAGCTGATATCGATTTGATTTTTATCAGATTCTGCGTTCCATTTCCCTTCGAAATTACCATTCAAAATGATATGAAATGTAATATCTCCGAACCTAATTAATTAGTACGTATGATTGCAATCACTCTATATTTCTTTCCTTTTAAATGGAAGTTTAATCGCGCCGCAGCTATTTATACCTTTCTCAAATTTATATAATATAATTGGCCGGAAAGAGAATTTCTTGTATTTCAAATTCGATGACTATTGAAGTAACTTTATAATTTAGATAAGAATTACAGAAAGTCAAAGTCTCGCAAAATTTTATCGTAAACTCTGACATACAATCCATTTGAGACTAATCTCTTCAATATGATCAAAAGCTGGCATCACTTTCTCGGTATTCCAATAAATTAGAGTGCATTGGGTGCTTCTTTCCAAAAAGACCAAAAGATTTAATCCAGATGTCAGTGAGAATTTTTGCTTGCTAAAATTCAAAGAATAATTTTAGTTATTGGGGAAAAACTTCTACCACAGAAAACATTCACGTATACATTTTACGTATTATATAAAACGCTTTCATATTTTATTAGTACTGTAACGAGACTGTCGCGATTATATTGATCAAATTCGAATAAAAAAAATTGGCCTACGGCATGGATAATCATTGTAGTTTACATAATAAGTATTAAAGATAGTTCATCTGAACATCGAATATAAAATCAATATAAAAAATAATTCACCGTTTCGTGATTTCTGCAAAGTGCATAATCTACTTGCATTAAATATCTTGCAACTTCCATTACACTTTCAGATTTGTTCACTGACACGATAATAATCGTGCCTCGGTTGTAACGTTGATGAAATTACTCGGTAAAAGGTATTTACACGTGTTCGGATATCCTCACGAGCTACTGTATATCGTTTTTTCCCTCGTTAAAATGCAGCTCGCCTATTCCTTTCCGTACTTTGATCAACAAAACAAACGCGTATTTATCATGCTATTTCTTTTTTTTTTTTTTCTTGTTGAGAAGCGGTAAAGTACATCGTCAAGTTTATTGGTTAAAACTATCAACCTTCAATCTAATGTTCAAATATATCACGCAGAAAGCAATGATCTCCCGATAAAATTCAACAAAGACAAAGAGGACATAGAAACCGAGAGTTCGGTGGTCTCATCGTTAGGAAAAAAAGATCGTTGCCTCATGTCAACAGTGGATCTCGCGTATATTTCCCCGGTTGATCGACTTTGATCGACGAAGACAAATATATCTGGATTAGAACGCCGAACGCGGCACATGTGTGTTTATCGTTGTACGACGGTGTCTTTTTTTTTCTTCTTCTTCTTCTTCTTGCAAAGCAGCTGGCTCGTCCGCGAGCAACGATAACGAAACGCGCGCGCGAGACGATAAATTCGCTAGTTTCGCAGATAAATGGCACGGCCATAGGAGACGGTTAGGCCGTGTCACGATGTTTAGCCCACTTTCCCGAAGGTTTCTCAGGTAGCTAGAATCCCGTTGCCTCGTTCTCCCCACCCCAAGCCGGGTTTCAACCACTCGGGTAGGTATACGGGTGCGTTTTATCCTGCGTGCTCTCTCTCCCCGCCTGAACTTCGTCCTCTTTCCGTTTTTCCCATTCGATCGACGACGAAACGACGTGGTCGAAACCGCCGAAACAGCAGCCCTTCGCCACGCGAATCGAATGGGAAACGGCTGGTCTGTTCACCCGTTCGATACGTGCACGTGTATTGATCGAATATCGTAGTTATTTCGCCGAGAGGCAACACCGATAAGTCGGTGCTAGATGCTATCGTTATCGTTGCCAAGAAATTAGCCTCCACGGTCGCCCGTTTCCAGATCGTTCTACGAACCTCGAAACCGTCTTGGCTTTAAGCACAGTGCCCCGTGCGTTACAAACGAGATCTCGAGGACGAACAGATACGCGCCAAAGTACGGAGGAGTGGCGGAGAATTACGTCCAATTCCTAACGTCACTCGTCATTGCCACAGCCGGCGATATCTATACGTGCTACACGGTCATCTCTTAACCCAACACGCTGTCCTCTGGGCAGAGAAATTTCTATAATTGTCGCACGTTGAAAATTTTCACGGCTCACGGAGGCGCACGTTGTACGTCTTTCATTCTCTTCGCATGTATTTTCCTTCTTCCTCTGTCCCTCTCGTACGACAGGCTACTTCGCTCGTTTCGTTTTCGAGAAAGACAAAATAGAAGACGCGTTATTGCTCGAATAATGAGTTACAAGCAATGTAACGTTTCGTTTGTAATCCTCTGCGATCGAGGTTGTTGCAACAGGAAGCAAGCTTCGCTTTCGTGTAATTTTAGCAAATCAAGGGGAAGCGATTAAAAATGCTGCTTCAATACTTATGCGATATCTACCGCAGACCATCAATTATTTCTTCTGAAGCTAACCACTTTTGAAATGGAATAGAATTTGTAGCAGAGGATGCGTGAAAAGTGGAGCTGCCTCCTTCGAATCCTCTATTTCACAATAAATATCGAGACTGCCAATTAAAAGAGATTCTCTTTTAGTAAATTTTCACGACATCGATACGATAAATCATTGCAAACCTAACCCTTAACGAGATGGTTAACGTGATACTACGAGGTCAGCGAGGAGAACAAGAAAGTAAAGAGGGCTTCTTTGAACTCCCGAGCTTGTCGCGAAATTCCACCAGCTTTATCTCGCTCTCTGGCTGCCTGGGGATCTCTCGTAAGTCGTAAGTTTCCCGTTCGATCGTTTGCGTCCGTTTGCTTGGACACTTTCCTGCGACTATTCTCCGAGTGCAGCACGTGTCGCGAATGCAAGGGACGCGCCTAACTAAAGGCCTGTACACAACGATCGGACCTTACTAACGACGATGGTCACAGACTTCCTCGAAGCGTGGAATGTGCCCGTTCGTTGAAGGAGAAGCAGGAGAAGAAGAAGACGATGGTAAATGGGCGGGCAACGAGTCCATTTATCCCCGTGGATATTAATTAAGATTATTCAGATATTAAATCGCTCTCTCCGTCTCGCCGGGTACGCATCACGCGTATTCCACCATGTCTAGTACGTTCGTCTATTTATAACGAGCCGCTCGGTAAGAAGCGAAATTCTCAAATGGCGTCGTAAGTGGCGATTGGAAGAGGGACAGGGCCGCTCCGTGTCGAAACTAATGCCAGATAATCGCGAAACTTTTACGACCAAGGGAAAAGTGAACGATCCCTGCCATTTTCGAGTCGCTTTCTGTCTCTCCAACGTTAATAACGAGTGTCTCGAGTTCAAACAAAGAAAAAAAAAAAATGCGAAAAAATTCCTACCAAATCTGAAACTACGTCGAACATTTTTATGGAATATATACTGTAAATTGATCTTGAAAATCTAGAGTTGATCGTGGTGCATCCTGAGCTTTCAGCTGAATCACTCGTACGTAGGATCTTTAAATATCAAGCTCGAGGATCTTTTTGTAGAAATTAATGTAGTTGGAATATAGAAAATTATGAATTCAAGAAGTTGACGAACAGAGGAGGAAGATATATTAAATTTGAAACTTTTTGAAATTTTACTGGCACCATAATGAGATTCAGTCTGACTACGTGATTGTACGAAAATATATCATAAAAGTTAAAAGAGATTTAGATTAGGAACAAGACATAAGAATTTTATACATCTACCTATCTACTTAATAATGATCTTAAGTGTATCATTAATCCTCTATAATCAGAATTTCATCTACTTACAAGAAACAAAGATTATCAGTTAACTACTAGTTATTCCATTCAAAATTTAGAGATTTAACATCTGTTATAAATAAATCATTCAGTGTTTCTGCGACGTATTAATGAGATGCAAGTAAACCTTTTAAAATTAGTACACAAACGTGGACAAAGAAAAAAAGACAAATTTCTAATAACTGTGTAATGACTTAATGACAATTAATCTTCGGGAAATATACTTTTGCAACGAATATCTCGTAAGGCACTACTTTTCTCGAAACAATTAGATATATTTCGCGCGTGCACGAAGAAAGACAGGATCTTCTGCAATTTTTGTCCCGTTTTTCCGGTGCACATTTCGTGAGTTACACGCTTACTAGAAGGAAGGAAAACGAGAAGGCTCGTTAAGAGATCGTTCTTCCAACGGAGTACACACACTCGCGTGCCCTCGTTCCCGATCTCTCTCATTTTCTCTCGCGAAACTTTTAGCCGTCTTATCACGCGTTACAGATTAGACCCCCAGCTGCTCTCTGATCCCTCTTCCGTCGCTTCCGCACGCTGCGCTCGTACCCCGGCACGAAAAGAAAGTGTAGTAGGGAGACGAGACGACCCTACTGGTGCGGAAGACCGTGATTCGAAGTAACCTAGCGACCGTCTCTACACGAATCGCAAAAGAAGAAAGGCATTCAATCGGCCGGCCAGTTGTCCAGGGGAAAAAGAAAAAAAAAAAAAAAGAAGAAAGCATTCTTCTCTCTCGAAATATTCGAGGCATGTGAACGAACACGGTCGTCTTCTTCCTTTCGTGATATTTCGTTCCCATGGCGCGACGGAATTAAAAAA